TATTGTATTTTTTTTTGTGTGCTTTTCTCGTAATGACTCACGAATTACATCTTAATTCTTTCTTTCATATGGCAAAACCAATATATAATGTGAGATTACTATTAAAATTTAAATAAGTAATAATTTCTGGTGGAGAAGAAATATACTCCAACCCTTCCCGGAGTTATAAAGAATAAGAAGAGCTTGGCTCACACGTAAATCAAGTGTGCTAACTGAGTAGGTAGTGTCAAACCATGATCACAATGATAGTTATCATTTGGGAAATGAAGAATTCTTTTATAAGGAAAAAAATCAAGAGATTTCACTTTAATTGGATCGGCTTTATTCCAAGAAAACTAAAGGGTACTTATCTTTTAACCCCGAGAGGTTGCTCAAGTGGTAAGTGTGTTTAACTTCATCGCTCAAAGCTTGGGATCGAATCACAGCACTTGCACATTCTCTTGTGGCCACTCCAAGTGCGCACACTTGCAAGTCTTTGGTGGTTACCCGGTGTGTGTGGGATGGGGGACCATCGCACTGGATGGAGATAAGTTGGATACTCAAAGATTTCTAGACACTCCATTGATATCAAAGAGATATCTATTTATTAATCTTGCGACAATGCATAGGTTTTGAATTACATATATAATTGAATAGGAAGAAATTGAAGGTTGATGGAAGATGCCTTTTCTTTCTTTTTCTTTATAAAAAGTGTTAATCGTAATCATTATTTATTTCTCAGAACCTCATCTTAATAGTTCTTAAAAAAACTCATTTTCATTGATTGATTACACCTCATTAGTGAGACCAGTTAATATAAGTGTATAAGTATGTAAGTATAGATACACTACAGATGCCAGATGGCAGTGCGACTCCATATATGCGAATGTTAGTATTATTCGAGTAAAGAATATCTTTTTATTCAAGTATCCGATTCCTCGTAAAATAGAAATTAAAAAAGGAATCGCTGAAAAAGCTTGAAAGCATCACGTTTATGTGTGCATCACCATACACAATTATATATTTAGTCCCATATTTTTACAAATTGTTTTACGACTAACAGCAGCAAACATTCTTAAAAAAGCAACCCTCTGAATTAGGTCAATCACCCAAAACAAAAATAGTTTTACTCGAATGTAAAGTATACTTACACATCTACGCCGAAATTTAAATAACCTGACATAATCAAATAGTCAGCATACGCGTATAAATATCATAGTGCTGCAATAGAAGTTGTTTTTCTATTGATTGTGGATATAATAAAAAATTTAGTTAAAAATGTGTATCCGCCATATACAAATTCTATACTGAAAAACATATAATATAGGATAAAAAAATTGAAATATATTGATCAACGAAAGAAATTAAAAGAACCCTCTCTCTCCTGTATAAAACATGTCTATGCACCATTGTAGAGGATGAAGACGTTGTCTTGTTCGTCCACTCGCTTTCTTTTTTTTTTTTTGGTCGAAACTTGCTTTCTTTATGCATACCATCTTCGGCTCATCTCTACTTCTTCGTTCTTATTATAGCTTGATGGGCATGAGCGAAAGACAATGCTTTAATGCCGAGTGCGAAACATTATTTTATATATTTTTCCTATAAGATATTGAGATATATAGAGTTTGTAAAATGACGAAAATAACATTGGAATCTAGGAAGAATTCATCATTGATACCGGAAAATCCTAGTAAGAGCTGGATTTTCTTGTCCAGTGGAAAGGCACAACCAAGCAGCACTTTGGCATGTCCTTATCTAATGCATGTGCTTGTCTCATCCTTTTCAACCTTACGGACTTGTAACTAGTAATCGTAATTTACTTAGTTATATAATATACATCCTCCAACCATATGCTATATGGATAATTATTGTACTTCTCGTGTAGGAGATCGAAGTATGTGGAAAATATTCTATGGATTTTCACCTCATTTCAACTCTCCCTTAGAAGAAATCACTCATTTCTTAAACTATGTTATTAGTTATTTGTGGACTATACATGAGCAATCTACCGATGAAAGAATTATGCTAGGCTCAAATAGCATCCGAGAAAGCTATGCATTGATTGAACTGTCCATATTGATTGATCCAGTGAAGAGAATGGTAGAAAATAAATTTACCATGGGCGCACGAAATACATCCTCTTAGACATGGGAGGAAACAGAGGGAAAGAAGAGGACCCAAGGCGGTCGGACCAGCTTCACATTAATGCGACCTGCATTCGTCTTAAGCCATGATTTGAGAATTTCATTGTCCTCTTCCTCGCCCTCAATCCACTAACAGCCACCGCCAAACGTCCATCTTGGTGATTTCAATTGAGTCCTTTCCTCTCGCTTCGTTGCTGATTGTCATCGCTTCCTGATCGCCAATAGTTTCGCCGCCGCAAAGAAGGTCTGTAATGCCGAAGTACTCGAACTTCAATCATGACTGCCTGCTTCAAGGATTCCATTCCTTGACGTTGCTTCTGTTATCTCCTTACTCATATTCGATGTCAATCGCTATAGCTAAGCATTCTTCATTTAACTAAACCACATGTGCTCTATTTTCCGTTGCTTTATATACGACGCAGAGGCTGGGAGCTATTGCTACTGTCTGTGTGAAAATCGATTGTGATTGAGGTTGTATTAATGATTTGAACTTGCCGCGTTGCCTTTGTGATGATTTGGATGTGAATCGTCGCTTTACTTTTGCATCTAAGCTCCTTGGCCAAAATGCATACCACCTGTTTGATGTAATTCATGTACTAGATCACGTATGTTGACGAAAACATACGCATGAAAGATGATGCCCTCGAAAAGTCACTTGAGAAGTATGATCCAATGGCTACCAACAATCTTTCCTGAGCATTTTCTTTCAGTCATTTTATTTATGTATCGTGCTGTATAGGAAAGGTTGTATCTCAACATACGCATGAAAGATGATGCCCTCGAAAAGTCACTTGAGAAGTATGATCCAACGGCTACCAACATTCTTTCATGAGCATTTTCTTTCAGTCATTTTATTTATGTATCGTGCATGTATCGACAAATGCATCACTAAAATTATTAATGATAGGTTCATCAGTTGATGAAAACATAAATTTCGGATACATTAATATTCCAATCTCATCTCTGAAGTAACTTTTTTTTTTATTCCGCAATGGACACTTTGTTTTGGAGGGAAGAGAATGCAGGTCTTGACTCAGGATCCTGTTGAATACATAGTGATGCAGCTCCTGTTGAATACACAGTGTTGCAGCATGGAGCATGGAATGAACTCTTTTTGGCCATAATGGTCCTTTCTTAATAGTCCAATCTCATCTCTGAAGTAACTGTTTATTTATTCCGCAATGGATACTTTGTTTTGGAGGGAAGAGAATGCAGGTCTTGACTCAGGATCCCGTCCAATACACAATAATGCAGCTCCCGTTGAATACACAGTGATGCAGCATGGAGCATGGAATAAACTCTTTTTGGCCATAATGGTCCTTTCTTTTCCATCATAACGGCCCTGAGATGACGACCAGCGGTTCATAGGTGAAGGTGCTCATGGGCGAAGGTTTGTCCCACCTGTGGATGGCTTGGAAGGGGCGGCTAGAATGAATGACCCGGAGCAGCAGAGTCAGAGAAAAATGAAACCACGGAGTGAAATTTCTCGAGCACCTGCAAAATAGAATTAACCACTCGGTCGAGTGCAGTGTCGTTTCGCGAGTGCAGAGTCGGTTTCGACTTGATGATGAGGCGCAGCTGGAACGCGGGGACTGAACTACGCAATCATTGGTACAGATTGCTCAACAAAGATCTGCAGAACTGCCGGAGGGCTTGCTGTGTCACGGTGGTTGATCGTCAAGGACACTGCAGGGCGAGTCAGGTTCAACGGAGCACACCGGGACTTGCTGGCACGCTGTCAGGTGGCCGGGCAGCACCAGTAACACCCCAAGGCAGAGACACCGCGACTGTGGATAGGGCTCGGTGCGCTTCGTGGTGAAGCAAGGCGGCGTGGCTGTAGCCTGTTAGTGTTGGTGCCGTGGCTGTGGGGTCGAGCCGGCGTCGGGGAAGGCAGCAAGCAACTCGTCTGGATGTGTAGGCAAGATGATGACCGTCAAAGGATCGAGCAGCACAAGTGGAATCGTGGGGACTGCACGATGTGGTCAAGGTAATAGCATGAAAAAACCCAGAGAGAAATACTTCTCGCTCTCTCTTTCTCTCTCTCTCTACTTCTTGCTCTCTCTCTCCTTTTACGAACCCTCCCTCTACTTGTGTGTTATTCTCTCTCTTTTGTACAAGTGAGACCGTCAAAGACTCTTATTTTTTACGAACTCTCTCTCTCTCACTCTTACTCTCTGCTTTTTCTTTCTCCTCCGTAAAAGCTCAAGCCTTCCCCCGTTCTTCCATTTATAGATGGAGAGGAGATGGAGGTTATTGTCAGCGAAATACCTCCCGAGATAGTAGCGGCAAACTTTTACTCAACTGACTGACATCTCCCCCCTAGGAATCGTTCAATCCACCGGAATTCCAAACTCCTCCACGACCAGATTATCCGTTCCTGATTAATCGTTCAATCGCTCAAGGGGCTCTCCCGAAAAAACTCTCGCTGAATGAATTCCCTCTCTATCGGAGAACTCACACTCATTTTCTCTCTTGGTTGACCGATTCTCTCTCTCTGCAATTTCTCTTTGCTAAATCTCTCTCTCTCTCTCTCTCTCGCTCTATCTCTTCACTTGGCTGAACAAGTATGAAGAAAGGGAACAGTGATAATGGGTTCAACCATGGCCGAAGCTAAGTGCATTTTCTTTCTCTAGTTTTAATCTTCAAATCAGGCTTGGAATCGTTGTCCTCGGTCTCGTTCTTATGATTTGCAGTGTTTGCTTCAATCATTTCTAATTCCAGCAATCCTCTTGCTGCCGTGACGCCTCCTCTGCTCAGCCATTCTAGCCGTGGATCTTTTCTTCATTAGCGATCGGTACCTCCTCTTCAGCCAAGTCCAGTAGCTATGGGCCATATAGGATCTTCATTCTCCTTCCTCGCCTAGTTTGTAATCTCATCTTTTCGTGATTCGATTCTCAGTTTTTCTTTTTCTTCCTTTTTACTGATATGTCTGGTTTTATGTTGCAGCACTAGAAGACAGCTTAGTTTCCTTCGATTTATGGTTGATCCGGTAGAAGAACCAGAGCTAATACGAAGCTCCCAGATTCTCCATCTTCGCTCTGACTGAAAATACCTCACCGCCGATTCAAAGTTTGTCCGTGTTCTGTTGATAACAGCCACGCCTACCAGGTTGTGTCTTCTCTCATCTAATTCCAGAATCCACTTCAATTCATTCTAGATTTGTTGATTGCTTTCGTCCTGTCTTGTTCTGCCTTCGCCGTTATGTTTTGGATCGCTATGCCAAGTCGATGGATATGTCATTGCACTACAATTTTGGAAGAAGAGAACGATGTTTAGATATTGAAGTGCAGTCGCTCCATCGCAACAAACAGATAACTCACTGCAAAGGAATTCTGAGCTAATCTCCCTCTCGGTATCCTCTTTTCTCTGTTGCAGAGTTTTTCCTCCGTTATAGTGGAAGAACACAAATATTCTATTGCGAAGTGAAGTAATAATGATCGGATATTAACATAACATTATGATGTTAAGAAGAAAAATGAAAAATTTCTTAATATTGGCTTAGGAAGAATATAGATCGCATTAATGTAAAGCTGGTCCGACCGCTTTGGGTCCCTCTTGTTTCCCTCCGTTTCCTCCCACGTCTAAGAGGATTCATTTCGTGTGCCCACAGGAAAATTTCTTTCTACTATTCTCTTCACTAGATCAATCAATATGGAGAGTTCAACGTTGCGTGACTACACTTGTTAGCGAGGACAATTTGGTTTTAGAAATTTGGATGTCCATGCTGATTCATTTTGGCATACTTGTGCCCAATTATTTATCATTATAAATCCTTGTTTGACAAAAGATCCCCATCCTTACTACTTTAAATGTCTTGTTTTTTGTCTTATAAATATTTTCAACCTTTATTTCCCACTTTTATGTGCCCACAGGAAAACTTTTCCTTTACCATTCTCTTCGTTGGATCAATCAACATGGACAGTCCGATCAATGCTTAGCTTTCTCTGATGCTATTTGAGCCTAGGATAATTCTTTCATTGGTAGATTACTCATGTATCGTCCACAATTTACTAATACCATATTTAAAAAAAAGAAAAAAAAAGAGCTTCTCTCTCTCTCTCTCTCTCTCTCTCTCTCTCTCTCTCTCTCTCTCTCTCTCTCTCTCTCTCTCTCTCTCTCTCTCTCCGCTTTTTTCTTTCTCCTCCGTAAAAGCTCAAGCCTTCCCCTGTTCCTCCTTTTATAGATAGAGAAGAGACGGAGGTTATTGTCAGCGAAAATCTCCCGAGATAGTAGCAGACTTTTACTCAACTGACTAACATCTCCGCCTTAGGAATCGTTCAATCCACCGGAATTTCAAACTCCTCCACGACTGGATTATCCATTCCTGATTAATTGCTGATTTTTTTTTTATCTTTGTATATATATATTTTAAGAACGAATATAAATTGGATGCTATTGTTACATAATGCATAGTGCCTAATGTAGATTTGATTTTTTTATGTGACGAACAAATAAATGGGATAGTCAAAATTTTGATTCAGGTCTTGACAGATAATTTCCTTCTTTACTAGATTGTTGATCGATTCTGGTCATTGAAGCCTCTTTGAGTTCTGTTTCTTCATCGGAGATCATAGGTATTCAATTTCGAACTTGTTTGGAATTTGCTTGAACCTTGTCAATACATGCTAATTCACAACTGTTGTGGCCTTGAGCTGATGTCAATTTACAAGGAGCGTTGTGCACGCGATATCACTTATCCACAAGCTATCAAAAAGGCAACCAAACTAAGACAAAATCCACCTAATTCATGCTTAGTCCACGAATTCCAACACACGTTTAGAATTGTAAGAGAGCATACAGGACCGCAAATCGAGATCGTTTGATGACTAATTGACATGAATTGAAGCCACATCTTCCTACAAGCGCAGATGTGTCTACTTGATCCAAATGGCATCAATCCAAGACCAAATTAGCACCGAATTTAAACAGAGCAATCATGATCAGCATGTAATACTTCGTTTCTAGCATATTCAAGTTCGCTTATGACTATAATTCTCGGAAAATTGGCATGAGATTCTCCATGTTACTTTCCTAGCATGAAAATATATGATCCCATGACCAAACTAGCCTCGTTCAGTTCTTGACCGAGAATTTCATTCATTACTAGATTGTTGATCTATTCTGGTCATATAAGCCTATTTGAGTTCTGTTTCTACATAAAAGAATCGCAGGTATTCAATTTTGAACTTGTTTGAATCTGCTAGAACCATGTCAATATATTTTAATTCGCAACTGTTGCAGCCCTCCCTTCGTTTGATGCTATCCCACTCAAGTAAGTATGTGCGATGATATAAGATTGTGTTATGGTGAATTTCATGTTCGCTTGGAAAAGAAACTATGTCATGAATGAAATACACAGTGATCTAGTTTAGCAATTACATCAAACAGGTGGTATGCATTTTGGCCAAGGAGCTTAGATGCAAAAGTAAAGCGACGATTCACATCCAAATCATCACAAAGGCAACGCGGCAAGTTCAAATCATTAACACAGCCTCAATCACAGCCAATTTTCACGCAAACGTTAGCAATAGCTCTTAGCCTCTGCTGCCTATATAAAGCAACGGAAGACAGAGCACATGTGCTTTAGTTGAATGAAGAATGATTAGCTATAGCGATTGGCATTGGATATGAGTAAGGAGACAACAGAAGCAACATCAAGGAATGGAATCGTCAAAGCAGGCAGTCATGACTGAAGTTCGAGTACTTCAGCATTGCAGACCTTCTTTGGCGGCAGAACTGGTGGCGATCAAGAACCGGTGACGGTCAACAACAAAAGCAAGTAGTAGAGGATTCAATTGAAATCACCGAGGGAGTGACTTGGGGATGCTAAAAAACATCGCCTGAGTTCCTTCAATCAATGCTCTCTGTTCTTGCCCCCTCTCAGCGTGCCATATCATGTGGTGGCCAGCGATGGAGACGTCGTGGCTTCAGAAAAACTAATCATATTCTCTCTCTCTTTTGATCTTACTATTGTTTCCGGACTCTTTGTCATGTCCAAATGCTATGTTCCGTGTCTCATCTTTTTGTTCTTTTTTAATATCATTTTGTTAGTTTAACATTTTATCATCATAGTCATATGCTTTCACTATAAGTTGTTGTTTGGCTATTGGTTCATCTATTAGGCGTAACTCGAGGATCATTTATGGATTAACTCACTTGAGGTATTGTCTATTTAAATAGCTGAATCTAATCTTCAATCGACCTTAAAATGCTGTAATGAGGTCGCTCTAGGCGTGAATTTAGCAATTTGATTTTTATTGAATTGGTTACTGGAGAATTTATTTCCAACCGGGAGCATCATTACTGCTCGTTGGTTCACTTTTCAATTTTTTTATTAACAAAAAAAGCAAGTCAAGCTATTACCAAAAAGACGAACAAAAAGAAAAAGCAGGTCAAGTCAAGAAGCACCTAATGCAGAAATTACGCATGCAGTAATTGCCCATTCCATGCAGCATGCATCTCGGCGATTCGATTAGCATGAAGAGTCTTGGACCGTTGGATGGCAATAGAGACTGTTGTGTTTTGGTAATAAAACATTGAAGGCTTAGAATCGGTGGAGATCACAGAGTGATAAACACTATTTATCTTGATTTATCAAATATGAGATGTTTCTTTTAATATTACCATTTGCCAATATATAAGTCAAATATGACATATTATATCATTACATGAAGTTATAAATCACTACTTTACTAAATTCTCTCAAAACTTCGTCATAATCCTCGACAAAACCTACACATCAATGAATAATTTTTATGGACATGTATTACCAAAATATTCAAAATCATGGAATATAACTTGTTAAATATTGAAGTACGACATAACATCTTTTTATAATGGGTATTTATACTACTTTTCGATCATAAGTGTTATCAGATATTATATACTTGTTATGATTATTGTTGAAATATACACAATCATGTAGTAGATTTTTCTTGAACATATCCTTTTTTCCCTTCTATCGATAATAATGGTTAGCTGTATTATATCCATTTATATGTAAAGCGTATTACATAATCTCTCTCTCCCCACTGCATATAATCCACTGTTGACACCTAAATTTTTATCGACACATCAAGCATATATTTTGAAAAAAATAAGAAATAAATAATAGTAAAAAGAACAAAAACTAATAATAAAATAAAAGAGAATAAAAATAAGAAGAGAGAGAGAGAGAGAGAGTCCAATTCGGCCTAGTTCGGCCCCCATCACCTAAGCATTTTGGTCCAATCCGACCAATTAAACCATGCTCATCTCACCCCGAATCAGATCCACAAGCTTAAGCCTCACTTCCACCATCCTTCCTATTCCACACGAATCATTACGTTTCATTGGAGTTGAGAAGGAAGAGAGGGATTTTGATCTTCTAATCTGGTCTTCCACATAAAAAGGATCGTGTCAAGTTTCATCGTGCTTAGCTTTTGATATCAGTGAAGCTTGTAGCAAATGGAGTGGAGGGAGAAAGGTTCCGTTGCTCAATTGCGAAACTGAGTTGTAAAATCTATTATCCGTTGCCATTTCCTTGGTACCCACGTGTGCATAACATGATTACAGGCTCATGGAATGCAATGGTTTCTGGGTATTGTTAGAATGGGGATTTTCGCTGAAGCACTGAATATTTTGTCTGCTACGAAGTCGCAGGGGATAGAGATGGATTCTGTAATTCTACATAATCTGCTCACCATTTTTGCTCAGTTTGATGATGCATCGAGGAAGCAATTGAAGCATATCACCCGATGGAAGAGTGTGAAGGGATTTCTCCATATAAAGGGAGTAAGGAGATGAGATTTCTAATTCGGTTCTTATACAAATTCATTGAAAATAAATGGGAAAATCAACATGTAAAAGATATTAACTGCGTGATTGATTTTTTCTTCAATTACGTGAAAATTTTCACCAACAGCAACAGGTGAAACTCAAATAGGGAAACAAGACTTCAATTGAAATCAACAATTTATTTACCAAAAACTAAACGCGAACACTGAAATTTACGGATGCCGGGTAGAAGTTACCTACTTTATTTAAAGTTACCATTCTCTTTAAGATTTTACTGAGTACATGAAAAAGAAAAAAATTACCAACAGCAACAGATTTTCCCGAGAAAATCCTTGAGGTGTAATAGATGGGACGCCCTTCAGAGTCATGGCATAGAAATGTCGTCTTGCATGCGGTGAACAAGAAAAAGTTATCTGTAAAGAAACAAGTTATCATTTTTAATATGGTCAATTAAAATTCCCAATTACATTACAAGGATTAAAACTATCCTGTTAAGTCCTCATATGTTGATATATGACCAACGAATCTCGCAGTACTTAGACCTTCTGGAATTTGCTTGGCGGAGTGAGTGCCTGGATGGCCTCGGCTGTCCTCTCCCTTCGCGCCATGACTCTCAAGGGCATGTTTTTGACGAAATTCAAACTTATTTCGGCAAGACTCCTGTATGTTCAAGCGAGTTTCAACAATTCCGAATGAATTACGGCAATTCCAAGTATACTTCAGTGAATTCTAGCAACCTACAATAACCTTCCGGCAACATCTCAACAAAAATTCGGCAAATTCCAACACATTCCAGCAAACGATCAAGGTCCAATGTCGTAGAATTTCACGATCCAACTTGCAACGCGAAAGACAATTAAATCACACGACCACTTAAGGACCAAACTATCAACAGAACCTTTCAATTAATGGAATCCTAGAATGAAGCTTCCATCAACACGACAAGCAATTGGAAAGAATAAAGGCCACCGAGTGCCAAATGAAATTACAAGATGACGAAACCATCTCATGCATTGACTAGTCCTCTTTGGCCACGTATAGCACATAATACATACACATTGCCCAACAGGTATTCAGAACATGGACCAAAAGTTTCAGTTTGAACTCAGAACCCCACGGCCTTCGAACAAATACATGGCGAGGATGGCACGGATTGCAAGCTTCCAGTACCTACACTTCCGAAAGAAACGTGAACAGACAGAAATGATCTTCTCGACTATGAGGCCAAGTGCTTATACATACCTCCTGAGCAATACCGTTCCAGCCATCTTGAATGTGTGCACAGAGGAAGGTCCGATGTTTAGGTGATGAGGAGGAACCAGGGAGTGAGAGGTAATAGAGGAGCGGCTGAGTGTGCTCTCTTCTTGTCTTTCGGTCATTTCATCGAACACCTCCTGAGCAGTATCCGCACGTTCATTACACGCTAGAGCAGCTTTGATTCTGATTCCCAAAGCGCTTAGCATTCGATGAATTCACCAAGGGTGCGTTTGTTTCGGAAAACTCAATGATAAAGGAAAATACTTTTCGAAGAATCAATTTTCGAGAAAATTGTTAGTTTTTATTTGTTTGGTGATACGAGACCGAATACATTTAATGATGTTTGGATTTCATTTGGAAAAATGATCGCAAAAGATGGAGCAGTTTGTGCATCATCTAACGTGACCAATTTGGGAAAACTAGAGAGGATCGATTCCGCCACGGATTGGACGTCGTTGATTTCCAAAAGACATTGACGAGAGCGCCGGAGATCTGGACAGTCTTGAGCGAATTCGCGTCGTGCGGGAATCGGCAAGAAACAAACAAGCGGTGGATGTAGGAGAGGAGGGGAGAGGGAAATGAGGGAGAGGAGAGAGGAGCGTATATTCGGAGACGGCGAGCGAGGGGTTCCGAGAGTCCATGGCCGATGAAGAGGAACCGCAACGACGATGATCGGAGGTGGAGCAACAATAGAACCGCGAGCTAAAGCCAAAACGCCGGAGAAACCTTATGCGAGAGATGGTGGAGACGTCAGGACATTCGAATCGAAGATCGATTCACCTCCGGCGAACCTCGAATCAACGAAAATGGACTTTGGGATTCCATGATCGAGCTTCGTTTTCTTCTCCGTGCGTGTATCGTGTGCCTTCTTCTTCGTGCGTCTGCCGTGGTGGGAGATGGAAGACCGGCGGCGGCTTCCAGTGGCGCTGGCGGCCGGCGGTGAAGCTAGAGAGGACGTGAGAGAGAGGCTACGGACGCGAAGAAGAATCGAGGACTTCCTCTTTGACGAAAGTGCCCTTATTTAAAATGACGAAAATGTCCTTCTGGCTATTGCTGTTGTAACCGAATTCAAGAGAGAAAGGGAAAATCGGTGATGGGCCCTAGGGAATAATAAAAAATTCTATCATACTAGCTGTGGCGTACAACGAAATTTTTGTTACTATTCTTTTTCTTATTTTTATTTGTGCATCTTGTCGGCAAAATTAAGGTATCAACAATCCCGAACTGCGAGAACCCCTCGCAGGATGAGCACTTCTATGTCTTCGTGGCGCACCTGGTCATGAAGGTGGAGTTCCATGTGAAGGACAATGATGCGTTTTGCGCCGAGCTCATGGAAGTCGTGGAGATCCCAGTGGCCAAGATCGTGTCCGGCGACATGGTCAACGACTAGTTCCCGATAATCGGTGACTTCGGGAGCCCCCCATGCCCTACCCGGAACTTCACATCTCAACCCAATTCAGGCCGGTCTACGACAACCCCTTATACAAGGATGGTCTTAGGGTTGGGCCAAACGATGTGGGTGTACCAAACACATATTTTCCACTTAGGAAAGGTGGGGATGCGACACTGTACCAAGATGCTCATGGGCCTGAGGGCAAGCTGCCTTAGATTTTGCTTGACGATGGGAAGATTTATGAGCAAGGCAAGTGTTGGGAGGACAAATGCCATGCCATTTTAGAGGCCCACCACTTGATCTACATCATTGGTTGGTCCATTTCTCATCCTGTGAGGCTTGTGAGAAAGCCCTCAAGGGAATTCCCTAATGGAGGAGAGCTTTCTTTAGGGGAGCTCTTGAAGTACAAGTCCGAGGAAGGCATCCGAGCGGTCGTGCTCATTTGGGACGACAAGACTTCACACGACAAGTTCCTGTTGAAGACGGTAATACTAAAACATTGCTAAAACATAGAAATGTCTTTATGGTTTTTGGGATGATCGGAATACTGCTTGGTCGAGAAAAAATTGTCCCCCTGCGGTTTCCATCACTGTTGATTAGTTAGCCAGTGTAGTAGAGCAGTTGGAACTGGGAAGTCACTACTAATGCATTGACGGTGATGAGAGCCGCGTGTGAACAAATTTCTATTCTAAGGATCATCCGTTTATTATTGGTGCACAGGATGGACTAATAGTTCTTTCTTTTGGCTAGCCTTTACACAATGCAATGGGAGAATATGTTATGTACTGGCTCTTTTCTTGAATGAGTGTCCTAATATATGATGCAACCCACCGTTTGGCCAAATTTCAAATCCATGCTTTTTGTTACAGAAAATCTGCACATTTATTGACTTGGGAAAAGATAGTTCTTTGTTGAGATCTCTCATCATTGAGACTTGGCATGTGCCCCGTTGTCGTGCAGGATGGCGTGACGCAAACTCATGATGAAGAGACGAAGAAGTTTTTCCGACATTCTGGCGTTCACTGTGTACTTGCTCTTCGTTATGCAAGCACCAAACTTAGCATTTTCAAGCAACAGGTATGTATCCTTAGACGTTTAGGTCAATTCTTAAGCAAAATCTCATCGTTAAATTGCATCAAAAGTGCTGCTTTTGCTGTATATTACCCGATTATTCCAACTGGGTATAATTTCATAGAGAAGGTTTTCCTTTTATCAGACAATTTGCAGATTGATCTGTACCCACGCTATCCTAGATGCACGTCATGTGTTTTCTGACCTAATGACCATCCATTTAGGACAGTTCTCTAATAGGGAATATTACAGTTTTGCAGAGGCTATCCATTCGATCGAAATCCGACATAAATTTATGAAAGTGTTGGTTTAATTTGTTGGTGTATGGGTTTTTTGTAGTCCAGGTGGTGGGGACCCTGTACACGCATCACCAAAAGTGTGTGGTTCTCGACACCCAAGCCCCAGGAAACAATCGTTCATTGGTGGGTTGGACTTATGCGATGGCCAATACGACACTCCTGAGCATAAGCTCTATAGCGATCTTGACAGAGTCTTTAAGAATGACATTCACAACCCCACCTTCAGGGTAATTAAGCTAATGTTTACCTTCGCATTGTTATAACAAGTATATGGTATATTCTGATAACGAGAAGTACTTGCTTTTTGTGATAATTGTAGTCCACTGTCAATTTCCTAAGGCAACCATGGCATGATCTACATTGCAAAGTTGAGGGACAAGCTGGGTATGACATATTGACGAATTTTGAACAGAGATGGAAAAATGCGGCGAAGTGGCGCGAGTTTAAGCTGAAAAACGTCAGGCGTTGGCATGAGAATGCTCTCTTAAGGCTCGACAGGATTTCGTCGATACTTTGTCCCTCGACAGGACCCGATGGTGACAAAAAATTACAAGTCAGGGACGAAGACAACCCAGAAAATTGGCACGTGCAGGTCGGGAGAATTTACATAAAATTTCAGCATTTTCAAGGGACTTCAATCGTAAACAAAAGCATAACAATCGTCTTTCATTTCTATTTTATGTTGGCATAGGTCTTTAGATCGATTGATTCGGGATCTGTAAAGGGATTCCCAAAAAGCGTTGAAGAAGCTGCAAAGCAAGTAAGTTTTAGCTACTAATACCGTGCCACTAGATTTGCAACAGGCCGTTATATATGTATAACTCGAAAAGTTTTCCTTACATTAGAAAGTCACTCTTCTTTTTTATGCACAATCTGTAGTGTTTTTGAGTAGAGATAGAAGTCCACATTGATAATGTTGCTTCTTTCAATCTCTTCATGTTGCAGAATCTTATATGTGGAAAGAACTTGAAAGTAGACAAGAGCATTCACACGGCGTACGTGAAAGCGATTAGATCGGGGCAACACTTCATCTACATTGAAAACCAGCTTTTTCTTGGCTCTTCCTATCATTGGCCATCATACAAAAATGCTGGTATAAGCTGCACATTTCTATTCATTCTGACTGAATGAGTTGAGCGAGCAACAATTCCTCTAGTGATTAGTATTCAGACTTTGCTGCCTCTGGGGATTGTGTATAAGCTAATAATAGCTAAAACTCACTATATAAGACATTGAAACCGAATTTCGATTCAATATGTTATATTTCTGAGACCGAGTCTCCGAACTTTTTAAATTTCGATTTTTTCCACCATTTTCTAGTATTGTTTCAGCCTATCTAATTTCTTAGAGTTTAAATTTTGATGGTAACCAATGCTTGATATGGTTTTGACAAGCAGGTGCAAACAATTTAGTGCCAATGGAGCTGGTATTGAAGATCGCAAGCAACATAAATGCAAACGAGCGCTTCTGTTTGTATATAGTTATACAATGTGGCCAGAGGGTGTCCCTACTAGTGCTGCCGTGCAGGAAATTCTCTTCTGGCAAGTCATATCAAGTATAAACTCTTTCATCTTGCAATGAAATAGTGATGACATATGCCAATCGATAATGGTATTTCAATATATATGACGTCCTAGCAAATTGAAACTAAATAACATGACGAAGGAAATTAAGCCGAAAAAGAAGTGATCCAAGCAAACCAAGCCCAGCTACTTAAAGGGGAAAATTTGAGATCCGACTTTGTTTGAGTCATTTTAGTATTTCTCTCCAAGATATGACGATATGAATTGATCAACATTCACTATTCTCGTGTGTTTATAATGTGGACAGGGACAAACCATGACGATGACGTACAAAATTATCGCCCAGGCTCTAGAAAAAGCTGGGTTGTCACACAAATACCATCCATTAGATTACTTGAACTTCGGGAAAATTACTAAAAAAGTCCTAAACCTTTTGCAATTATGCCAATTCAGTCTTAAACCTTTTTTTTTTGGCCAATTTAGTCCTAAACCTTTTGCAAACCAGCCAATTCAGTCTTTTTAGCCGGTCGACGCTGACATGGCCGCCGGCCGGCTGACGTGGTGCGGGCCAGCGTCCACGTGGCAATATTTTAATATTTTTTATTATTTTCGAATTTTTTTCCTTTTTTCTTTTTTTTTTCTTTTCCTTCTCCCCCCTGGCTTGTCCGGCCAGGGGGGAGGCTCGCCGGTGAGGGTCCAGCTCCGGCGAGGCGAGCTTGAGCACTTCTTCTAGTCACAATAACATATATATATATCAAAAAGTTATCTCTCTTGAAAAATAGTTCAAACTGAAGGAGGCTTTGATTGAGCACTTCTTCTCCAGACAGATAAATTGCCTCTTTGTTAGGAGTGTTGAGTTTAAAAATTGTATTTACTCAAATGAAAACATACATGACCGAGAAAAATTTCAATACGGCCAGGTGCGTATATTAAACCTGCCTATTATAATAGAGCATGTATTTTCTAATATTAAGGGAGAGTGATTCTTTTTCTTACTGCTTTTCGAAAATATTTACTAAGTGGTTCGCGGAAATCTTCTTCTCCCTAAGGTCGCGCCACCGCTCCGCCGCGGCGCGCGCGCCGCCGTCCGCCCGCCGCCGCCGGTCTCGGCCGCGCCGGGGCCCCGCGCGCCGCCGGCGAAAATATCACGAGAACTCGAAAATATTTTGCACTTGATTATCACGAGAATGCATGATTAGGATTTTACACGACATGCCCAGGAGACAAACCAGAGCAGTGCATAGTGAAGGAATTAGTCACAACCTTCGTGGGAAGTGTACAAGAGAATGCAGAAAACATAATATCATATTTACCGGACACGTTATTCTATATTGCCAGACACCGTTTTCCATTGCAATAGTCACAAACTTTGTGGCTACACCACATAAATATTAGTAGCATTCCACCTCACTTCGTTCGCTGCCCGAACGAATCTGGTCGATGAAAGCGTCAAACGAATCATCTACCCGACAACGTTGGACTGGCTCTACCAGTAGTCTCAGTCCCGAGCTGCGCCTTGGTTCGGCTCTGTTCCGCAGCTGTCTACATACAAGACTTTCAAGAGTGGGGGAATTCCACAGTGTATTTCTCAGGTATGAAGCTCCTGAATTTCGGCAAATTTATGAGGCCAAGCTTAGTTAACTTGGAGAAGGTGATTGTCGTACCGGTTGCTTCTTTACATTCTCCATGGCCAGCAATTTAGTTCCACATTTTCACAATCCTGCACCTGCAGCATTCCGACTTGCCCGAGAAATTTGGCTGTGAGGGTTGGAAAAAGTATTTCCAAATGTGGGCAATGCAAAGCCCTCATGAACATAAAGTTTGGAAATGGGACGTTTGGGGGGCCATCTTACTGCCAAATGCGTCTCAAGTTTTCCAGAGAGCTCAAATCGAGGTGCCTCAATTTATTGCTCTTTGTAACTGTTCCATCACTTTCGTATATGATCTTGACCAAACGAAATGATTCCACTAAAAGGCTCTTAAGACAACACTACAACCTCTTCCACATATGGGATGGGGCAATACGTTGGAGATTGTCACAGTATCCCAAATAAAGGCTATCCAATTTGCAAAAGGAATCGATGGAATTTGATTGTTCCATAGCTCTTTGCATTGAATGCCTCTAATTACTAGTTCTCTTAAATTGGGAAATGTAACCTGCTCAAGGATAAAGTGAGAAAAGAAGATAGTAGTCCCTATCAGATTACAGCCAACTGTACCTTTTCATTTACCTTTCATTTCAAGCCACATTCAATTTCAATCTAGATTTTCAATCTCGATTTTCATTTAATTTCTCATAGCATTCTTTTCCATTTCATGATATTAAATTTAATTAGAGCTTTGTAATTTGGATGAATTACCACCCTTCAATGTCTCACTTAAAAAAATAACTTGACAGTCTTTTGTTACACAACAAAATCCCCCGTCTCCCCCTTTAAGGCCAATGGAAATATTAATCTCTTTCGTTACTAATTTATTTTTTCGATTGTCAGATTTAATTAATCAATTTAATTTTTGTGATGAAGCTTCATAAATCACCATATTGATATTTTAAATAGAAATACTATTCAGATGAATTTCATGAACTCTCTCTCTCTCTCTCTCTCTCTCTCTCTCTCTCTCTCTCTCGCAAGGAATTAATACTAAATGAAGTTACATGCTGTATTTGAGAAGTTACACACGTTTAAACAAGAGAGGAAACGTTGAAAATATTTAAGCAACATAAAACGCAATGTTAAGTAGTAAGGATGGGGATCTTTTATCAAACAAGGGTTTGCAATAATCAATAAGAATAAATAAATAATTTGGCACAAGTATGCCAAAATGAATCGGCATGGACATCCAAATTTCTAAAAGCAAATTTATCCTCGTTAACAAGTGTAGCCACGCAACATGTATAACTAATTTTCATTGACTAATTATATAGAGATTATCTCTATTGAAAGATAGTTCAAAAGAATAATGTAACCTTAAAAAATCATTCAATAAAATGGGGGGCTTTTTATTGTGTACTTTTTCTCGATACAAATAAATTGCTTTGGGAAAATCCACAAAATAACGGCTTTCATTGGCAAGTTGGACCCATGGGATGGCCAATGGCCCAATACAACTCTCTTGAGCACAGGCTCTATAGCAATCTTGACACCATCTTTAAAAATTGACATTCACAACCCCAAATTCGCGGTAATTAAGCTAATGTTTACATTTAGCATTGTAATAGCATGGATACATTATTTTCCGATCACGAGATCTATTTGGCATGATCTACATTGCAAAGTTGAGATGACATTTGATACTCTCGTTTCAGTTCAAAGGAAGCAAAAAAGAGAATTTATGCATGTAGCACGACCACCTATCAATTTTTCAGGCTGTGACGACTGAAGCAGAGTCAGAGCAATTCAGAGGCAAGTGTCTTTGATAAGTTACCCATTGCAACCAATGAATGATTAATATCGCCTCATCATTGTGCACTGATATATTCAACTATAAACAAATCTACCTGGAGTTGCTTTTATATTACCCAATTCCTACATTTATTCCCAAAGCAAGGAGCACGGAGGTATGATTTGACTTCACAGAAATGCATCTACTATACATCTTTGCCACAATTTTTCAGTCATTTAGTCCATACATCATCTAAATCCATAAGCTCAACTGTCCAATATCTCTACGATTTGTGACCCTGCAACACTTGTTTTGTCGAACTTACTAAATCATTAGGTGACAAGTATGAAAATGGAGTAATTACTCAGAGACCACCACCAGTTCAGTATGGGAGGCCGGGAGGTAGAACGCGTGATAGCAATAGAAATCATGACCAACCTAGATATGACCGACAAGGAGTTCAAGTGCCAAATAGACAAGGGAGCCCTCGATATTGGTTATCACGGACCTATGCAGCAGGATGCTCCACAAAATTATTCTCCCCAGCAAAATTATGGTCCCCCGGGGCAAGGTGAAAGAAGAAATCCCATGCCAATGAGCAATATGGATTAAGCCACCGGCGGAAGGGCCCCATATCAAGGACAGAGAAGAGATCCGGTGCCTTCATATCAGGTAAATTACAATCAACAGGGTCATAACAACTACTACTATCAGCAAACGGAGAGACCTGCCCCAAGGAGATAGATGGAGCTCTGCACCGCCAGTGCAGAATGATTATAGGAGAGACAATCGGAAATATGCACCTACTTATGGCAATATCAAGCATCCATCTCATCGATTTAATCATGCACATGCAATATCACTTATCCATGGGCAATCAAAAAGGCAACCAAACTAAGACAAAATCCATCTAATTCATGCTTATTCCACAAATTCCAGCACACGTTCAGAATTGTAATAGAGCATCCAAGACTGCAAATCGTCATTGTTTGATGACTAATTGACATGAATTGAAGCTGTATCTTCCTACAAGCGTATATGAGTCTACCTGATCAAAATGGCACGAATCCAAGACCAAATTAATACCGAATTTAAAAAAAGCAATCAAGGTCAGCATGCAATACTTCAATGCTACCATATTCAAGTTCGGTTATGGCCATAATTCTCGCAAAATTGGCACGAGATTGACCATATTAGTTTCCTAGCATGAACATATATGATCCCATAAGCAAACTAGCCTCAAGATGGAATCAAAAGCACACCAAATCAGAGATATCAAGACACAGTTAGCATACACGGATCGATTTCCAGTAGAATTTAATTCATTCATGACATAATTTCTTTTCAAGCGAACATGGAATTCACCGTAACACAACCTTATATCACTACACATGCTTACTTGAGTGGAATAGCATAAAAGCAAGGATGAATTGACATCAGCTCAGAGCCGCAACAGTCACGAATCAGCATGTATTGACAAGGTTCCAGCAGATTCAAACAAGTTTGAAATTGAATACCTATGATTTTTTTTTATGAAGAAACAGAACTCAAGTACGCTTATATGACCAGAATAGATCAACAATCTAGTAAAGAAGGAAATTC